CCCCAAAACCCCAAAACCCCAAAACCCCAAAACCCCGATTTTTTAATGTTTAATTGAAGTAAAAGTCTACATGGGTCCTAAAAGTCTGGAATTTCTAAAATTTGTTTTTGGATTGACAGGATTTCGTCGACTCTTTTCTTTTCGGCTTTGAAATTCCGGTCTACTGAGAATCTTAGGATATTACCTGGCCCAATATCGCTTGGTAGAAGTCATAGAGGAATTTCAATAAGGTTATGGTCTTTTGAAATCAAGATTGCTGATCCATCTTCTATTCGCCCAACTGTATAATTTAGCTCAAACTTCGTGGTTCCATCATAGTTCTCCTTATTATCTTCATCCTCTTCCTCCTCTTCTTCAGGGTTGAGTTCATAAATTCGATTTTCTTTAGCCTTTTTAGCAATGTCTTCAATTTCATCTTCCTCTCCTTCCTCCTCTTCGGAAGGGTCTTGCTCCTCTTCTTGCATTGTCTTTTGAGCCTCTTCAAGCAGTTCTTCTGCTTCACGAGCTTGTCTTTCTACTAAATCATCGTCGATTTTGCTTTCTTCTGTCTGTTCGATCTCTTCAGTATATTGATCGTTTCCTTCAAAGCTTGGTTGTTGGTCTTGTTTTGAGAGCTTTGTTGTCTTATTAAATTCCTCCTTATTCTGCATGAATTCCTGCATTAAATTATTCGAGATTTTAGAATTGAGGCCTTCTTGATCAAATTTTCTATGCTCAGGTTCCTCAATCTCGTGCTCTTCATCAGAATGAGGGGTTTGGTCACCAAAACTCTTATATCTGTGTTGTTCATGGTTTTGTTGAGGTTCTGCTTCTTCCTCTTCTTCCTCATATTCCCCTTCAAACTCCTCATTGCCTGTGCCTCTACGATAATCCGGCTCTTGCTCGCTATACTGGTTAGGATCAGTATCAACCACCGATCCATCGCCTTTAGCAATTTGTTCGGGCTTGCTATTGGCTTCAGGATGCTCAATGACTTCAATTTGTAGATTTTTCTTCTTAGGCATGTATTTTTCAGCCTCTGCTTCCATTGAATCCTTCGAATAGGAGTCAGCATGGTCTTCAAGCTCATGCTCTTCTTCTGAAACCCTCTGTACTTTCTTCTTTCTAATCTTTGGTCTTTTTACTCCCTCCTTTTCCATCATCTAATATATAATTCAATTTATTAAATAGAAATAGGGGTTTTGGGGTTTTGGGGTTTTGGGGTTTTGGGG